AGTTGATTAACATACGTAAACGTAACAATAGATACAAGAACGGTAAAAAACATTTCAAAGAACAAATAAATCAATAATACATTTTACTATAAAATGTAAGCATAAATAGACTAAAATAAAAATAAATAAAAAGTAAAGCAAATTAATAATTCAATTTTAATATACTAATCTATATGTGATAGGCAGAATTACTCTTAATTTCACACTTGTTATAGTTCACAAACTTTCCACACTGACATTCAAAAAATCCTTTTTTTTTTTTTAGCTCCCTTTGTCTTGCCAAACTTTCAAATGCAATTTAGAGTGATCAATGAGATGAATGCTTGAGGCTATAATTCTCGAGTCCTCTGTCTTTGCAAAATGATCCTAACCAAATTTTATACTAAAGAAATTTTGTTTAAATACTTCAATATTTATTTTCAAAAGCTCTTATAAAAAGGAAGATGTTATTAAGATATCTAAGACTGATTCTAATGGGTAGAACATTTTCTATTTGAAACACACTTTGAAATTTGAAAATTTCGGAGAATAAATAAAGATGGTTTCCTTTGTGTTTAAAAGAGTCTAAAAAAAGATAAAGTTTGTTTCTTATTTTTAGTGGGAAGAATGTCATTGATATTTTGGGTAAATAAAATTTATACATTAAAAATTGGCATGCTAGTGTGAAATAATTATAATTTCCTAATAAAAATCATAATAATAATAATAAATACTTTAAAATCATGGAAATGCACAAATATTTTTTAATGAAATTAAATATTTTAATTATAAAGAGTATATTAACAATGATAGTTCTTAAAAATTATAAAGAAATACTGTTTGAAAATTAAATTATGCTTTTATTAAGTAAAAATTAGAATGAAAAGTTTTGTAGTAAATTTTTTAGAAATTAGTTTTACATAGTTATAAGGTATTAAAATAATACAAATTCAATATTATTTAGCAGTAAAAAATAAGGAATGAAAGATAGTTTCCTTTTACCTATTTTTGTAAAAAACAATGCATAACTTTTATGAACCATTTGCTAAAATATTTAGAAAAATAAATGAAACCAAAATGTCACTGACAAAAGTAAATCATTGGTAATAATATATAATAATAAAGTAAATTCTTATTTCATTAAAATTTAAAAAGTCAAGATTATATAGATAAAAATGCAAAAAATATCAAAACATTTAAATACATATATAAAGGAAATTTAATCTAGGGAAAATTACACATATATCTGTTATATTTTACGTTATTACGGATGTACCAAATGGTTTTCGTTATTATATGTCTATCTGTTTTTTATCTTTCGTAACTCAATTTTTTTAAAAAGATGACTTTACCCTTTTTCGGGTATTCAACATTTGAATTGAAGAGTTTTCGGATGTTCAACATCCGAAAATAGCCGAGAGTTTAACGTTCGGATGTCGAAAATAATTTCGGATGTTGGACATCAGAAAATAGCACATTTTCGGATGTTGAACATTCAAAAATGTGCATGCGAAAGAAACCTTGTGGAATTTTGCAGGCATTTTTTCAGATGTTGAACATCCAAGAATGTGCTATTTTCGGATGTTCAACATCCGAAAATAATTTCAGATGTTGAACATCTGAAAAACCCTTCAATTTGGATGTTGAACACCTGAAAAAGAGTAAAGTCATCTTTTTAAAAAAATTGCGTTATAAAAGGTAAATAACGGATAAACATGTAATAACATAAACTTTTTGGTACATCCGTAATAACGTAAAATATAACGGATATGTATGTAACTTTCTCTTTAATCTATTTAAACTTTCTAATAATGCCTCTTAAATATAGGAGAAAGCCAAAAATAAATAAAACGAAAAAGAAACAAGCTCATTTCCTTGAAAATGAAAATTTTGATGATTTTGAGGAAGAAGAAATAGTAAATTAGTCATGGACTAAACCGAAAAAGATCTAGATTATATAGTTTCGCCATGAATACAAATCCTAAATCCAATCTAGTGGCTTTCTAATGATGAAAACGTAAAAAAAATTAAATTAAATGAAATCCATATAATAATCACAATGATATATTGGAACAACGGATAACTTATTTAGACATTGGACTTATAAATTTCCATCCTGATTACTCAAAGATTTAAGTATCCAACTTACATCATCATCAATGTTTTTTTTCCAATTAATTGGGGTCGGCTGCATGAATCCTACCATTTTACTCTATTAAGGACCATATCCAACTTACATGATATATTGAAATATAAAAAAGAAGATAATAAAAACATGACAAAAACCTATAATATACACAAACACCGATAAAAAAACCAT